TATAAATATATATATACTTTGCTGGTTTTTGTGTTTCTCTAGAGAACCCAATCCAACACAGATGGAATCTATCCTAAATCTGCCACAGCTGAGTCCATTACAACTCATAGAGACCTTATAGGATAGAGTAGAACTGCCCCCACAGGGATTCCAAAGCTATAATCTTTACAGAAGCAGACTGTCACATATTTCTTCCATGGAGCGGTTGGTAGGTTCAAACCACCAACCTATCGATTAACAGCCAAGCGTTTAACCACTGTGCCACCAAGGCTCTGTTTATCCTGAAACCAAACCAAATTCAATCCCATCAACTCAATTCCAATTCACAGCAACCCCCATTGGGTTTCCAAGGCTGTAAATATTTACGGAAGTAGATTGTCCCATCTTCCTCCCAAGGAAAGTCTGGTGGGTTTGAACTGCCCATCTGGTTGGCAAAGGCACTTGAATTATTTTCTGTGTGTTTCTGTTGTCAATCCAATATGCAGTTAGCCCCATTAGTTTTTTTTTTTTTTAATTAAATTTTAGCCATTTTATTTTTCATCCTTTTAAATATATTTTTGAATATGTAAGATACTTACCTGGTTCAAAGTCAAAACTACATAAAAAGGCGAGGAATTCCACATCCTTCTCAACTCTGTTTTATGTATTTTTGTCTGATGACTGTGTGTCTGTTGGTGAGTGTGTGTGTGTGTGTGTGTGTCCTTTCCACTCTACTGTTTTACATAATACATGCTGGAAAGAATTCCCTATTGATGTATCTGGTGGATGTTGTTAGTGGGCATCGAGTCAAATCCATGGAGATCCACATTTTTCCTTACTGCTGTGTGGGACTAGTGTGTGGATGGACCACAGTTTATTTAGCCAAGCTCCTGTTGGTGGACCTGGGAAGTTGTGCAATATTTTTCTATTACCAATGATACTGAAACGAGTAACCTTGTGCACTTGTTTCGTATTTGTGGAGCGAATTCTGGGATTGCTGGGTCAAAGATGGACACTGAATTTTGTACTTTCTTCATGCTACTTTATTCAGCAAGTAACAGTCTGTCTACTGCAGTGAACCACTGCCCTAAGTGCTAGAAATACAACACTGGACCCAAAGCAAAGGTATGAGAGAGGCAGTATCAACGATAAAGAAGCAGACAAATAGGGGATTTGGGATGGTAGATGATAGAGTGCTTGGGGACACTGTGAAGACAGGTAATCAGGAGGGCTTCTCTGAGGTGGCATCTCAGCTAAGGCCGAAATGACCAGGAATGAGGCCTCACCAAGGGGCTAGCTGCACAGGCGCTGGGGGGCGGGGGGAGTCACGTGCTAAGGGGCAGACGCTTCCGTCCCTCGGTCCCATCGGATCTCCCAGGCCACAACATACACCAGAGCCTTGGCAGTCTGTGCAGCGCACTGGGGTGACATCGTGCCCAAAGGGGCGGAGCTTCACGGGGGAGTCGCAGTGACTCCTCCCCGTTTTAGGGATGCACAGCAGGGATCGCGGGGGACTAACTAACCACGTACCTGGAAGGCGCCGCGGGGTGGAGGCATGAGCTAAGAGGCGGAGCTTCGTGAGGGAGTCCATCCCTGGGACGAGCCTGCTGCAGAACCAGGCACCAGGAGGCCTCGGTAGGAGCTTGCTCGCGCAGGCGCTCTGGGGAGCGTCGCCCGCGCTAAGAGGCAAAGCTTGGTGAAGGTGCCTCAGTCTCTCCCCGACGAAGGGCCGGGGGCTCCAGCAGGGTTGGCTTGGCGGACTGACTACGCGCCCAGCGGCCTCCCGAGGAACCTGTATGCGCAGGCGCTGGGGGTGAAGTCCTGCGCGAAGGGGCGGAGCTCGGGGAGGGCACCTCAGTCCCTGAGCGCCCTACCAGGTCTCCCAGGGTTCCAGCAGCGCCGGGTTGGCGAGAACCTGTCAAGTGCTTGGCAACCTGAAGAGGAGCCTGTCTGCGCAGGCGCCTGAGGGTGGAGTCCTGCGTTAAGGGGCTGGACGGGGCGGGGCGGGGC